GGAGAGCGGTGGCTGCTGGTTGGAAGTCCAGCTGTGAGGGCAGCGCCACTGCCAGCAGCAGTTCATAAGTAAGGATGGCATGGTATGGCATTGCCACTCTTACTTCTGCGCTACTGCCTTCAGAGCTGGGCACCCGGCCAACAGCCGCTGCTCTCCAGCAACCAGGGAGCAACACAGAAGTAAAGGTGGCAATACCATGACCCCCCTACAATAACTTTGCGACCCCACCCATGACTCCCTTTTGGGCAGGACCCCCAGTCTGAGAAACGCTGGTCTCCCCTGTGAAATCTGTATAGTATAGGGTAAAAGTACACAAAAGACACATTTTACAGGGAAGACCAGATTTCACGGTCTGCGACGCATGTTTCACGGATATGAATTTGGTAGGGCCCTAGCCATTAGCATCTATGTCCATGCCTGGACAACTTCTCCCTCTGAGGGGAGCTGGGAGTTAATGTCTGGCTGCCCACTGAGTTCAGAGTGGGGTGACTATAGTGGTGTTGATCCTTCTGACCTCCAGCATGCACCTGCCTAACCTAGGTACTAAAATGCTGGACTAGTACACATCTGAAGTAACTCCTCTGAAGTTAGCTAATCTGGATTTTCATTAGTGTAACTGAGAGCAGATTCCAGCCCACTAGGCCTAGACACTGAGTTGAACGTTATTAGCAATACCTAAGATAGTTGTATAGAAATCTATCACCACATACTTGAAAGTTTGGGAAAATATGGTAGAGCTGATATGACCATTTCTGCACCCAGTTTGGCCAGCTTCTGCTTCCATCTGCTCATTTTAGTGGTGGAGCTTATAAATAACTTTAATATTTATTTGAGGTGTGGGTTACTTACTTTTCCTGTTACCCTATAATACATCCTTACATGCCTTTCAGATCAGATTTTAAATTTTAGGTCCTCTTAGCTCAGAGAGGCAAATTATCAAAGTAGAATTTAAGAAATTCCAAGGCACTCTATTTTATGTTTTGTGGGTTTTTTTAAATTTTAATTAAGGTATTATCAGAAAAAAATACTCTACACTTTTTTAAATAACCACTTGTATCCCATTGTATGCGTCAAGCTGTGTGCATAAGTCTGACACCAACTACCTCTACAATAGTCAATTGTTTTTGGAAAAGGAAATGAGGAACTAAGATAGTCATTCAGAATTACAGGGGAATTTTGGAAGATAATGCATAATTACCAACATTATCTTAAGTGTCCAAGGATGTGAGACTTATTGTGTGAAGTGCATAATGGTAGCTATGTTTGTCTACAGAGAAACAACCAGTGAAGCACAAGTAACTGATCACATTGTACATACTGAAGGTCAGAAAGGTGCGATATTAAACCATAGACTAAAATGTGCGGTAGCTACCTCTCCACCTCTAATTTTTCTATGCATGTTAAATATTGTAAATAAAACACTGGTGATGTTTCACCTTTCTTTGCAGTCACTTGCCCCAGAATTGCATGTCCCCAAACTGCATCCCCCTTTTGAGTGCTTGCGCTAGAATAATGGCTTTGTTTTTATTATTTGTATAAAGAATGATAAAAAGAAGGGGTTATGCTTCTCTTTTCTTGTTCTCAAGGTTACGTTTTTGTAAGATTTGTAATGATTTAGCTTTATGTTCTAATGCATGATGCAAACATTTGAATAAATGTAAATAGTGGTGGTAGTTTGCATCCTTAGTAATCCCTCTGTAACAAATTAATAAATAGACCCAAATCCTATTGCTTTACCTCCATGACTTGTCTCTTTGACGCTCTCATGAAGTGAGCAGATTTTGGCCCAAAATGAATTGTATCTTCTGCAGTTACATACCATGATTTTCAGACTACTCTTTTCATCACCTCATTTAGATTAATATTCACATAACATTCTCTGTAGTTGTATATAATAGAAATAGTATTCCTTCTTTTATTATCCACAGAAAATGTGTAAGGCAACTATTGGGCCATAGAAAGATTAAAAACTGGGATTTTTCAGTGTTTTGGTAGGATGTGACACTAGCTAATCCAAAAATCAATCCTAGCTTTTACAATGGATCATTGTTCAGTTTACAATATTCGATACAAGAGTTGCCCAAATCTCTACTGAACCTGCAGTCCTTGAATGGGCAGATAAAACAAAAAACAGGATAGATTGAGTACATACAGACTTACTGTGGTCCTTTTGTTCAGACGATAAACCGCATAATCATTCTGTTTTAAAGTTCAGTAAACTGAAGTTTTCCAAAGACCAGAACTGGCTCTGATGAAGGTACATATTTGTGACCTTGGTTCAGCATGTTGCTTAGGGCAACATAGCTAACATAACTGTAGCTTTTAATATGACATGGTCTAGCTCACTTGCATGCTTTCTCTTTTTTACCAGTTGACAGGTCAGAGATGCTGATTACAATTGGCAAATTGTTGTAACATTCCATTTCAGACTTACTTCCTAAATATTATAGTGAGCACTTGTTGACCTGTCAGCCCTCCCTTTTCTATAGATCCAAGAGTCTGTAGCAGTAGTATCCATGGAGGATTAACAAAATTATATAAGTACTGTAAGTCCTGGGGGCATGAAAAGTTCTGGTTCTTTTAGAACTTTCCTGCCAAAGGCTGCCTCTGTAGATGCAATGTTCTGTAGTGTCCTGACAACCCGTCATGATAAAGTTGCAGCCTTGCAGTATTCCTCATTTGACACTTTCAACCTGTCCTCCTGATGCATTGTCATCCCACTGGTTGAGTGCGCAATGATAGTTACCTGTGATATTGCCCTGCTAACTTTGTAAACCTCTAAAATACTCCCTTTTAATTTTATCTGAGTATTGAGGCTTTGGTTGTCTTCTTCTTTCCCCAGATGGCAGTGTGGGGTAAAGCACTGTAAAAGGACTGCAGACTTTCTGTAACCCAGAGTCCAATGCAGGTGTTCTTTGAGAAACTCCAGTGAGTGCCACCCACCTTCTTTAGGGAAGAATAGCTCCGATCACTCTGAGGTGCTGCAACAGAACCCTAATGGAGTACACGGTAATCCTGTGACAAGCACAGGCAAATCTCTGGCATCCCCCTTTTAGAGGACTTCCATACTGTACAGAAACCCCATCACTTCTTTGAGATGAATGGTCCATTCTACCCCTTCTTCCTCTGCTGAATGTGTTCCAGCAGACTATTCCAGGAGTGCGGTCACATCTCTGTGGTCAAGGGTTGTCTCTAGTCCATTTGAGGATGGCTGGTGCTATTTGTCCTTATCAGCTGCTACTGCAAGTGCTTTGTCCAAGCAGTGTTCTGCCTAAATACTTAGGATTGGTAAAGATTTGTTTGACTTGTACATCTGCCTTCGGCAAATAAAGCAATAGGTGTCTGCAGGCCAGTGTAACTGCCATGCGCTGAGCCATGGAAGGAGTGCAGGGAAGGATCAGTTGCAACAGAGTCAGCCAAGATTTTTTTAGGAACATAGGAACACTGGATATATTCGATGCCCTCATGGATTCAACCAGTGATTTGTTTGGTTCAGTGTCCTGGGTAAAATTTTCAAATAATGAAACTCAACAGGACTTGGGTTCCTACCTGACTTAAGTGCTTTTGAAAATTTTACCCCTTGTCTCCAGCAATGGCCAGTGCCAGATGCTTTAGAGAGAGGTGTTTAAGCACCATAGTGGACAATTATAATATAACTACCTTACCTAAGCTCCCTCTAAGCTGTGCGGCTGCGCAACTGCCTATTAAGTGTCGCGCAGGCGCTCAGGGCTGCGGCGGGGAGAGATGCCTCTGCCCAAGACCTGGACCTGCCGCAGCACCCCTCCCCCAGTCCCGACCCAGCTCAGCCCTGGACCTGCCACGGCCGGGGGACAGGCACCCCGACCCAGCCCGGTCCAGACCTGCCGCAGCCAGGAGACAGGCACTTCTCCCCCCCCTCCCCACTGTAGTCCCAGGGAGCCCCATTGCACCCCAAACCCCTCATCCCGGCCCCACCCCAGCCCAGAGCCCACAGCCCCAGCCGGAGTCCTCACGCCCCTGCACCCCAGCCCTCTGCCCTAGCCCTGAGCCCCCTCCCACACTCCGACTCCCTCGGCCCGACCCTGCCACATGAATTTTATTATGTGCACCAATATGGAGGTGATGTCACACATCACCTCCATATTGGTTCACATAACAAAATTCATTCTGTACATGGGTGGGAAAAATTAGAGGGAACACTGTACCTCACAGGGGAAAGTTTCCTTCTAATCTCCTGCTCCTCCTTGCTCTCTGCTGCCTCTTCCTCCATCAGTATTATCTGCTCAACTAGCTTCCTGTGGCCCATTTCTACGTGCCAGTTGTGGGTGAGATCAGTCTCCTTTGGAGCACTGCGACAGGATCTATCTCTCCCCTGCTTTCCTTGCCTCTGCTCCTTCTGCTGAAAATGCTGGTAGAGAATGCAGACTCCCCTTTAGTGTGAGGCAGCAACGGGGGAGCACTCTCTAGTCATCCCCTTGTTCCCTGTCACTGTCAGCCGTCTCCCTGAAGAGTGGGAAGAGGGAATGATGCATGAGGGGGGGTTGCCTGAAGCTATAAGCACTTCCACCTTTGGGCTCATGAGCCTGCTTACTTTTAGTCTGTCCTGCCAATTAAATGAGTTGTTGGGTTTTGTGCTCAAGCGATGTCCTCACTTTGATGTCTTGCATCAGATCCTCTTTAGGCCGAAAGGAAAACAAATTGCAGCCATTTGAAGGCTGAATATTAGTTTATTTTCCTGCACTTGAATGTCTCTTAGTTTTTCAAATGGAATTTTGAAAAAAGATAAGCTTTAATTCTGAACATTAGACTAAGCACTGTGTCTCTATACTAATGCTCCCTCTGCCTGCTGTCTGGAGTGAATTTCGCAGCATCATTTGGCAATTGTGTTCAGGTTGTGGTCTGTGATCATGATCTGCCTAACACTGACTCAACATATGCATGTGTGTTTTTTGTGGTGTACCTTTATCAACTTTGTTATCAAGCTGATTTTTTGGTTGCACTCTCTGCTTGTTTTCCTCCAGTGATGGGGAGGGAAGGAAAAGGACCTCGTCTGTCTGCAGCAATGAGTCTCTAAATGCCAGTGGGGTCACTCTTACCCCCCGCCGCATCTCCTGGCGGCAGCGAATCTTCCTGCGGGTTGCTTCACCCATGAACAAATCTCCCTCAACAATGCAGCATCAAGGTCCGTGGGGCTTCAAAGAGGGCAAACTGTGCACATGCTATTGCTTATTACTCCTGGAAAGAAAAGTAGATGTTTAACAAAAAGCAACTTAATGCAACATTGTAATGTACTTGCTGAACCAGATTTGGGCAATGTCTCATTGGGGCGGCTTTGAGTCTTTGTTTTGAACTGGTGTTTCTAGCAGTAGACGCAAACTAATTGCATTTTGCTATAGTTGCCGGCAAGGGCAAAGAAACTGCAAGAACTGCCTTTAGGTGATCAAAATATCTCTGTCAGCAAATATTGCCACACCCTGCTTATATAAGAGACGGCGGGGTGGGATAGCTCAGTGGTTTGAGCATTGGCCTGCTAAACCCAGGGTTGTGAGTTCAATCCTTGAGGGGGCCACTTAGGGATCTGGGGCAAAAATCAGTACTTGGTCCTGCTAGTGAAGGCAGGGGGCTGGACTCGATGACCTTTCAAGGTCCCTTCCAGTTCTAGGAGATAGGATATCTCCATTTATTTATTTATTTATTTATTTATTTAATTTATTTATTTTTAAAAGGAGAGCATTTTGACAGTGTTCTGTCCCAAATAGAACACAATCTGGATGTTAAGCACCCTTCCCTATTTTCTTTCTTTTTTAGTTCTAGATGTTAATCTACTGGTCTCCTAAATGCACTAATGCATGAAATTGCTTCTAAAAAGTCAAAATTCTGACTAGTAAATATGGCTCCTATATCACACTTCACAGCTGTGGATCCACTACAGAAGTTCTCTAGATTCAGCGATTGTAGACGAACTGATAGATTTATTGCATAAGTACTGTGTGATAGCAGAGAGAAAAACATGGCATCTCTGCTAGGTGGAACATATAGCAAACTATGGCAGTTAACAAGCTTAACTGTAGAAAGAGGTAATAAGGATGCAGTGGGAGTGGTCAGCTATTAAGCTGCCCTTTGTAACTTGGAGGGAAGTTTGTGGAAGGGTGCTCAATATAGCCATTGACCTTAAAGCGTCATTTAAAATGTTGCCTCCACTGTTAGAAAAGTGTGGTTTTTAGCTTATAATTAGTGTATTGTTGCTGAATATGATAGCAGAAATTACTGTCTTCACTGTGGCATGTATAGCCAATGTAATCTGGATTTCCAGTGATAGTTATGTGATTCTTTGCAGATGGGCTTGAGGGGAATGAATTGTTGCCACTGTCCCCTCTTGCTCCAGCCTTGGAGGAGGACCCTCTTTCTTTGATATTGCAAAATGAGGATGCCCCAGATAAGGCTGGCGGGAGAAAAAAATCGGAAGAGTTGCAGAGTCTGTGGAGAAAAGCTATCCATCAACAAATCCTACTGCTTCGAATGGAAAAAGAAAACCAGAAGCTGGAAGGTTAGCCACTCAGAGAAACAACTGGGCCTGGTTTTCAGAGGCCCAGACCACAAGCAGCTCCCATTGACTTCAACTGAAAATCAGGGCCAGTGCTATTATAAGTTATGCAGTAGTTTCAGAAATAGAATTGGTGCAAGACTGAGGTTTACAATCTTAGAAGCGCTGCTGTTCCATGCAAAACTTGCAGTTTTTCCTTGATTTAGTGATTAAAATACCTGAAAAGATTGGGCATATTAAAAGATGACACAGCTGGCATATGAATTACTGTTCTGGTTATTTCAAAAAAGGCATAGATGCAAAATCTTCCATGATTTAAACACTCTTTTCATGAGGTGGAGCAAAGATATAGCATACTGCAGTACATTCTCCATCAAGTTCCCCTTCTTTATAAAAGTACATGCTTACATGTCAGTTTTGCAATTTAAAAACATGCTTTCTGTCAGAGTAAGATTCCGCATACTTGTGTGTATATATTTAGTATAAACCATTGCTATACATATCCTGGGCAACCAGATTCTGGAATACCAGACCACCATACAGGATTTATTCCTCTTTCATCTTATAGCAAACTGGCATGAATACTTAAATCATCAGTGAACTGCTCCCTTCATGCCTCGTTTCAACAGGGTAGCGAATGATTTTCTATTGCACTGTCCAGATAGGTGTTATACATCATAAAAACATACGATGTTCCAACAAAATGTTTCTTGTATATTTCCAGTCTTTCCTACTCTACCAGAGAAGTAATTAAGGTCCTAAATTTTTCAAAAGCAATTAGTATTTTGGTGCTTCAATTATTTGAGTGCTCAACTTGAGATACCCTAAAGGTGCTTCATTTTTCAGAAGACGAGTGCTCAGCACTTTATGAAAATCAGGTCCTGATAAGGGTCTGAAGTTGGACACACACTCTATTCATTTATCAACATTTTGGCCAAGATTCTTACTAGTGTTATTCAGGATTCCTTCTACAAAAGGTAGTAGTCAACATCCTGGTCTAAACGTAAAACTTGTAGAAATCAAAAAAGATTTAATTTACACTTAGTGCCTTTACCCTAAAGCAGGGGTCGGCAACCTTTCAGAAGTGGTGTGCCACGTCTTCATTTATGCACTCTGACTTCAGGTTTTGCATGCCAGTCATACATTTTAAAATTTTTAGAAGATCTCTTTTCATAAGTCTATAATATATAACTAAACTATTGTTGTATGTAAAGTAAATAAGGTTTTTAAAATGTTTAAGAAGTTTAATTTAAAATTAAATTAAAATGCAGAGCCCCCTGGACCGGTGGCCAGGACCCGGGCAGTGTGAGTGCCACTGAAAAATCAGCTCGCGTGCCGCCTTTGGCATGCGTGCCATAGGTTGCCTACCCCTGCCCTAAAGAAACTGCAAATGGTAATTTGCATATATTGTCCTGTGCAGTCTTTAAGTTTCCAGAGGCTGGCATTATGCTGCAGTCTCATTCTTTCAGCATAGAAATCCTTACCATCCTCATTTGTGAAAGTCTCATGCCCACCTCCCATTTCTCCATTTCTTTAGTGCACCATATAGGCACCAGTCCATGCTAAGGATACTAGGGGAGAGGAAGGAAAAAAATGGCAGGAGTCTTTCCATGTGACTGCAAACCCATGTCCTTGAATACACTGCTTTAGCACCTAGTGTGTTACCCTCCCAGTTTGAATGACATAGGGTTTGTAGGGAACATCTACTGATTATTTAGTCATTGAAGAATGGCCAATCCAACCAAATCCTTTATTCTTGGCTATTTTTTTTAGCAACCTGCCAGTCTGTGTTTGGGAAGAGAAGAGGCCACAATGAATAAGCACTGGTTATTCCTTTAGATTCTTTGTACTTCAGAAAGGGCTGTTTGTATCTTGAAATCTCAAACCTTGCAGGTATCACAGACACTTAAAACTAATCTGACCTCTGCAAGAACAAATGATAAAACAGCTAAAGAAATAAGTGGTTTACAGAGTAAAGAACATAAAGCTAATGCCTCTTTCTTAGTTAATGATTAACACTAAATGTGCATGTCTGGTCTCTCTGGTGAAAACTAGAAAATAACAGTGTAGTAATGGGTGCTTGTATAACTGCATTCCAGTTTTGAACCCACTGGGTTCTCTGACTTGTGGAGTTTTATCAGCTGAGAATGCATTGCTGCCAATACGTTGGACTTAATCTCACCAAGTAAACGCAGGTGACTTTGCTTAAGGAACCTAGGCACTGGTTATCTAGTGTTAGAGGAGACAGGATGACTTGAGACAAAGTATAGGTTGTTCTGGAAATTTTCCCAGTCTCCATATAAATTTTGCATTTGTTTCGTTGGCATATTTATAGTCCAAGCACGTGTGGTATTGTGTGGAAAGCACCTATTGAAAGCTGACGCACTTTGACTTGAGCAGGGTATTTCATTATTACACCTTGATTCAGATGGTGGTTGGTCTCCCAACACTACAGTCCATTACAGACTTCAGAAAATGTAAACATAAACCCAGAACGGGCTGAAACCTCTAGTGGCAGCCTGATTCTTAGTTGTATATTCATCACACTGATTATTATTGCTTTGTTTTTGATGTGCAATTTCCACCCCTTTATGAAATAGCTCTCAGCAGTTCTTATCTGCTAATGTGTTGTATTAAATGTACTGATTAAAATATTAACAGAATCTCTCCCACTGTTCTTTGTGCCTTCGAGGAGACTTGAATGCTAATAGTTATTTGTTCTGCAGAAGGTAAGATTTGTGAAGCAAATACCTATTGTTTTAATTTTGATAGTGGCTAAAGGCTACTTTTTTAAACACAATATTTCTAGGTGATTTCACAACAGGAAAATTTAAAGTGAATGGTAGCAAGCAACTAAATCTATAAAAAGCCTAATTTTGCTGCCCTATTCTCGCTGAGCAGTGCCTTACTCCACATGCAGTTCCACTGATTTCAGTGGGGTTAGTTTTGGAGCAGAGTACCACTCAATGTAAATAAGGGTGCCAGAATCGAATGCCTTTTTGGCAGTACAGGAATTTCACATTCTTATGGTCTTGCATTTATGCAACAGTTTGCATAAAAAAAATCAGTTGTGGGTTTTTTTTTTTTTTTTTTTTTGCCTTTGAAGAACAACCGTTGTTCCCTAAAGATAACTTTTTTTAAAAAATCCAGGGGCAATATCCAAGTTTAGATTGAAGCTCGTCGAAGCAGGAGCTCTCCTAAATGCTTCGTGCCTAGCACAAAGCGACTGGGTCCCCTAGACACTACCACAATAGAAATAATTACAAGAATTGTTTATTGGGCCCTCATCAGTCAGATAAAGATGATAAATTATAAAGCACTTGGGGATACTCAGCAACTAGACTTGTGGAATGGCCTAGACATTAATTCCTGATCCTGCATGCACTTATGTATGTGTCCCAATTAACTGAGGCTTGTCATGGGTTTCTTCCACTTTTTGCTGAAGCGTCGGGTATTGGCCATTTCTGGAAATAGAGTAGCTAGTTGAGGGACAGAAGGTCTGATTTGGCTTTGCAAGTCCTATGTTCCCATAGAATCCCCAGTGTTGGTTTGTATCATTCTGATCTGGGGAAAAAACAGTTAAAGAATCATGGTTCCTCAGTGAACCATGTAAACTTACTTCCAACAGTGATCACGGTAAATGTGTGAGACTTAGAGTTATAGGAATCCTTGAGGGATCATATTGTGCAATAATGCAGTATGTAACCTGCTCACATGATTATCAAAGACTCTATTTGCAACAATTGGACTCTGGAACTGCATGTGGGTTAAATCTCAACGTCAGTAGCACGGTGTGTGCATTAAGCCCTCCACTTGCTAACAAATGCACAGTAAAAGGGCTACTGTGACATTCCCAGGTAGAAATCGAAATTAGGCCTCCATGAAAATCCAGAATTACCTGACAGTTGTTTTAGAAAAGTGAGTCTCCAGGAGTTGCTAGAAGAAGTGAGCAAAAGGCAGGACCTAATGAGAAGAGTAGGTGGTAGAGCATCAGACTGGATTTAGCAAATGGTGCACCTTAGAGTCAGGGAGATTAAAAACTCTTACCACTTTCTGCTGTCCTGCATTGTGACTCTGAGCAATGGTGTTAACGGGGAAAAGATGCTAAAATAAAAGCCCCATTGTGGTGAGAAGCATCTGTTTGAAACTGTCATGATCTATTACAGGGGTGGCCAACCTGAGCCTGAGAAGGAGCCAGAATTTACCAATGTATATTGCCAAAGAGCCACAGTAATACGTCAGCAGCCCTCCATCAGCTCCATCCCACTGGTCCCAGCATCTCCTGCCTATCGGTGCCTCCCGCTCCCTCCCTACACCTCCCAATCAGCTGTTCCGTGGCATGCAGGAGGCTCTGGGGTGGGGAGGAGCGAGGGCACAGAAGGCTCAGGGGAGGGGGAAGGGAAGGGGTGGAGTAGGGGCAGGGCCTGTAGCAGAGCCAGGGGTTGAGCAGTGGGCACATTGGAAAGTTGGCGCCTGTAGCTCCAGCCCCAGAGTTAGTGCCTATACAAGGAGCTTCATATTAACTTCTGAAGAGCCACATGTGGCTCTGGAGCCACAGGTTGGCCACCCCTGATCTATTAGGACCACTATGAACAGTGTAGCTGGTGGGACCACATAATGATAATGATCTCGACTTTGTCATTTAAAAGAGAAGTTTCCTAAAAAGACTTTACCAAAGCTCTTGCAGTTCCAGAAGGAGCATTCAAAGTCTGAGATTTCTCACAGTGAAGCTATTTTAATGTGCAATATACATAAAGTAAAAATTATCTGATAAATTGCTTTGCACAATTGTTTGTTGCTGAGATGTCAACATTTAGCCACAGAAAGACAACTGATAAATACCTCTCCATCATCAGCAGAACTCAGGATTATGTCTTTTGAAATGTGGAGAGATGATCCTTTTGTTCATTCCATTGACATTGGTTTAAGTATTATAAGGATTCTGTTGCAGAATATTCATTTCACTCAGCAAAGCTTTGCTAAAGTTCAGAGAAGGCGCAGTTGTGGGAAGGGGAGGAAACACATCTGATTTTTTTTCTTTTATGTTTCTTGTACGTTGGTTTGTGACTTTATCATGTTCTTTATTCAGCAATATGAGTCATATGTGTCTAGAGAGGTATAGCCCAGCAGTTCATTTAAAGTCAGTCTCCTATCATTTATCCATTCATTCGAAGTGTCCTATGCAGTAACAGAAGAGAGATTCTGGATATTACCTTGGCTGTATTGAGATATTTGATTTCTGATATGATCTCTCATATACTCTCCCTCATGTTCTATATTCCAGCAAGCAGAGATGAACTCCAATCAAGAAAAGCTAAATTGGACTACCTTGAAGTTGGTACATGTCAGAAAGATGTCATAAATATCTGGGATAAGAAGTTATTAAACTGCAGAGCCAAAATCAGATGTGACATGGAGGATATTCATACCACTCTGAAAGAAGGTATTTATTATGTGTGATATGTTTTGGCTGGGACATTTGGGAGACTTTTTTTTGTTCAGTCTTTAAGGTTATTTAAACCAAATCTACCTTCAGTAAGCTTGTTCCAATAGCACCAAATCGGTAAAAATTGCCCGTTGCCTTTTTTCCCAAACACCAACTATTTTGCAATGAGAACATATACTGATTCTGTTATGCCTACAATATATTGAGACAGTGCTGCAGAAAGATCAAGTGAATGATTACATAGTTGTACTCCTGTATGTAAGGTGATGTCCCCAGATAGGTTAGCATTGGTGGGGATTTCTCCTAGGGCCTTTGGATTTAAAAGCATGAACCTCTATTCTCTGAGCTGAAGAACCCAGTTCCTTGGCTCAAGGCTGTAGCAGACTCATAAACCTGTGTACATGGACTAGTGACTAGACAGGGGACAGAGGGCCACAGTGCATCAGTGTGGGTTATACATTTGTCTGGGGAAGCTCACCCTGACAATTCCCATATGGGTTACCCCTTGTAACACAATGCCCCAGTTGGGAATTGAATCTGAGATATCTGGACCTAAAATCATGAGCCTTTGTTGTTTAAACACAAAGGCTAAGTCCCTTAGCTTGAAGTCAGTAGTAGACTCATAAACCTCTATGTTAACTAGCCATTACATGGCGACAAAACGACTACACTATTAGTGTGAGTTACATGTAGATTAAGTCTTGTGGTTCTCAGCCTTCAAGTTAGGAACCTTAGCTATAATGCATTATATGACATTATCTTTATCAAACAGAAGTCACTATTATAGATAAAAAGCTTTCAGAATATTCAACTGCTCAGGGCATTTGTTTTCTCTCCCCTCTGATTTTAGGTGTACCAAAAAGCCGCCGGGGAGAAATTTGGCAATTTCTAGCTGTACAACATCGCGTAAGACATAGACTGCCAAGCAAACAACAACCTCCTAACATCTCATACAAAGAACTCTTGAAACAGCTGACAGCTCAGCAACATGCTATCCTTGTAGATCTAGGTACTTTTGTGGTGGCTGATAGATACTCTAACGTGTACTTTGTGTCCTATTGCTGAGGTGACTGGAAAATGTTGTTTTTAGTTTAAGTTTCATATTGGTACAGAAACAAAATGCTACTGTACATGAACATACGTTCTGTCTAGGCTGCCTTCAGTGTTGTCTTTGCTGAACACTCCTGCTCCTTTTGTTTGTGCTGTATGTACACCATGTCTGCAATGGGAGACACTTATCCATGAATTTGGTGAGTGCAATTTTGCAGGCTAACTGCAGTGGAGCAGGAGTGAACTACGAACTTGAAGGATGAAATTCTGGCACTGTTGAAGTCAGTGGTAAAATTCACTGTGATTTCAGTTGGGGGCAGGATTTCACCTGAAGGGTGAAAAGAAAAACAGGGCTGTGGGAAGAGAGGACAGGGCTATATATGCTGGCTGACTTATGAGAAAGCAATGGAACAGTCTGTAATGGTTGGAGGGAGATGACAGAAAAGCAAATAAAAATGAAGGGGAAAAGGAAGAGAGGAGATCAGGGTAACCTTAAGAATAATTATTCTTGGAGAACATGAATTCAAGTGTTTATTTATTGTTTTTTTTTTTTTAAATTACAAATGCATGTAATTGATCCTCTTCCTCTCTCTTTTCTCTCCCACCCTCTCGTATGTTACTTGTCTTAGATTGTAAGGGACTATCTTTCTGTGTGTTTGTATAGCATCTAGCACAATGGGGCCTGATCCTGATTGGAAACTTGGTAATACTGAACTAGAAATATTAAATTCATTTGTGAGTCAGTGTGATGGTCTTCATCAGGGCTGACTCCAGGGATTAGACTGGAAACGTCCAGAGGGAAATTATGAGTGTCTACAGTTGAGCTAAAGAGCCAGGCTTTGTCGCTGCAACATAGGTTTGCAGAATTGGATCCTGCAGCTTGAACCTAGCCCTAACCTGAAGTATCTATAGTACAACTTCGGGGAAAAAATAATAGGTTCCAGAACCTCTCTTGATTTTTTTTCTTTTTTCCAGAAAAAAAAGTGTATAACAAACAATTATCCAGTGCTTAGGTACAACAGCAATGGGTGCCCTAGAACTACCCAAGATACGGTTTTATTCAGTACAACTTTGATATTGCTGTAGTCAGAAAGTATGACCAACTATCCAAATTTCTTTTATAATTTAAATCCAATTCTAAGGATATGTTCTGGGAAGGCTTGATAAGAGAAACTTCTGCAAATACAGAGGAGAGGAGTTTTATGAGTTTCTGTCTCTCTAGAAAAGAGAACTGAGAATTAAATGCCTCTCTCTTTTATTTTTACGCCAGGCAGGACATTCCCTACACATCCTTACTTCTCTACACAGCTGGGAGCAGGGCAGCTGTCACTTTTTAATCTCCTGAAAGCTTATTCTTTGCTGGACAAGGAAGTGGGTTATTGCCAGGGTATCAGTTTTGTGGCTGGAGTACTGCTTCTACACATGAGTGAGGAGCAAGCCTTTGAAATGCTGAAATTCCTCATGTATGATCTTGGCTTCCGTAAACAGTACAGGCCAGACATGCTGTCACTACAGGTAAGTTGGTCCTTTCTCCTAAAACAAACTAAACTTGAATCTGCTGTAGGATTTCCAAGAGGCTGTGCCTGTTCTAATACTTGGAAAGTTGCAGTTTGTTAGGATGATAAGTGCTAGAGGTGAGTAAAATGCATATAGTTCTCCTTGCCAAACATCTCTCTTGTTTTCTTATTTAGAAGTCGATATAGAAGCTTAAGAGTTGTAAACATCTTCCCATCACAAACCCTGATACTCTTCCATTTGGAAACTGTGCCTTTTCTTTTAATCCCTTCCTTTCCTGCTCATTTTTCTGCCCTCTCCTCAAAAAAACAAAACAAAAGAAAGCAAAAACAACCACTCCCCAAACCCCATATAAACCATGATCATTTTTATCTGCCTGCTTGCCCCTGCCTTCATGCAGAGAATGAATAAAAACAAGGACACCCCCAACTAAAAGGTGAAGATTAAATGCCTCTCTGTTGTTTTGTTACATCATTTGTTAACTCTATCCAGAAGGATTTAGAATTTTTAAAAAATGTGCTCCCACTGCTGCTTCACTTTGGGAAGCCTTTAAAGCCTTCATCAGAGGCTGTATCATCTCTTATGCCACCTTTCAAAAGAAATGGAGAGAACATAGAATTGATACCCTTGTGAAGGAAATTAAGGTCTTGGATGTAAACTATCCTTGTGCAGCCTCCCCAGAGAAACTCCAGATCCCTCATCAATCTAAGATATGAAATCAACAAACTTCTGTCCCAAAAGGTTAAGTCTGCTTTATTTTGTTTGAAGCAAAACTACTGGGAATCTGGTGAGAGAGCTGGGAAGCTGTTGGCATATAGATTTAAGCAAAAGGCTTACAGAAATAAGATTGCTGCTAATCGCAATAGTAGCAATAAATTATATACAACACAGACCTTAATAAACAATTTCAAAAGTTTTATTCAAAACTATATTTACCTGGAGGGAATCCGTAAAGATGCCCTAGATAACCTTTTTAGTGGATTGTCTCTGCCACAGACCTGGCTGTTAGAAGGAACTTTTAGATGCCCTTCTAGAAATCGCAGAACTAACTCTGGCTATCAAAGAAATGAAGGTCGGAAAGACTCCTTGCACAGATGGGTTCCCAATTGAATTAAACACCTAGATTATTGAATATTCAATGAGGCCAAGAATGAGCAAACTCTCCTGTCTGCTCTAAGAGAAGCTGTAATTTCAGTTATTCCTCAATTTGGGAAAGATGTTGGACTATGTAGTAATTACAGGCCTATTTCTTTAATCAATTGTGACGCTAAGATTTTAGCTAAAGCTCTTTCTATGTGACGGTACAAAGGTCTCTCACACGTCATACACATAAATCAGGTAACTTTCTTCATAACAGACATAGCTCAGATAATTTGCTTCAACTGATTGATGATATTGCTGCTTTGGGATATTCTAAAGAATCCTTAGCTGTCACTTCTTGTGATGCCTTAGGCCCAGGCTATGTGGTCAGTCTTTTTCATGTGTTAGCAAAGTTTGGATTTGGTAACCAATTTATTGCTTGGATTACACTTTTGTACTCTAACCAACTTCCAAGGTAGTTACCAATAGTATTATTTCCGCCCCTTTTCCATTACAGAGACGTATGAGGCAGGCCTGCCCCCTTTCTCCTCTTCCATTTGATTTAGCTCTAGAACCTTCAGCCATTGCCATCCAAGGAAATCAACATATTCATGGTATCAGGGTAGGCCAAACGGAGCACAAAACTACACTGTCTGCAAATGATGCTCTTATATTTGTATCTAAGTCCAAGGTTACCATTCCTAGCCTTCTAAACACCGTTAATAAGTTTGGACTTTTCTCAGGATATAAAATTAATTTGGGGGGAAATCAGAAATCTTATGCATTAACAAATACACCCACCAAGGCATTTTTTTCAAATTAGGACTTTCAATGGCAATGTTTTTATATGAAATATTTATGGATACTGATCATCAAAAACATTCCAGGACATCCGCAAAATAAATGTCTGGGAGAATTTTGTTTTCCCAACTTGGAAAATTATCATATATCCTTTTTGTTAAGCCAGGCATCTTTGTGGCTGTTAAATATGACCATGTGGACCACACCTTGTGTTCAGATTGAACAAGAATTGGTATACCCTCTCCCCCTTTCAGGCATTGGGGGATCGAATTATTATGGATTTGATGGCTCCAGAGCTCCCACAATGACGGTGGTGGGGTAAGCTTGGTCAAAATTAGCTAGAAAGCTTTGTTTCCATCCATGTAGAGGCAGTCCTATTCTTAAAATCAGTGGCAAAACCTTAATGTGGAAAGATTTGATGGAGAGAGGATTTATGACTTGGTTGCAGCGAACTGACAATGATGAATTTAAACCATTTGTAGATCTTCAGCAACAATTTGGTTTGCCCTGTTCCAGACTATGGAAATATCTCCATTTAAAGCATTTACTTACAAATGTGTTTGGACAGGATGCATTGGGAGCTCCAGAACTTTTATTGTTTTGGAGGAAAGTTCCTGGATTTTCTTGACCAGTGATGTCCCTTTACAATTTTATGGCCCAAAAAAACCTCTGCCAAAGATTGATAATTTGAGAGTTGGAATAGAGATTTGGATACACAACTATCTCCGACCCAATGGAATACTGTTGTATCTAATGTTAAAAAGGCAACTATAGGCCTGAAACTGCAGCTTATTCATCAAAAGATAACTTTTTTTTCAAATATACTGGTTCCCACATAGAGTAATGGTAAAAGGCCTCATAAATGCTGACCACTGTTAGAAATGTAATTCCCCGGGTACTATGTTAGTTCATATGTTTAGGCAGTGCCCCTGTATCAAGAATTTCTGGTAAGAAGTGGGTATTGGATGCTAAATTGAAGCTCTCCCATTAAGTTTCATTCTTGGGCAGTGGCCAGTACCAGATTTCTGTAAGGAAGGTGCAAGAAACCTCTTAGTGGGTAATTACAGAAGTCTTGCCCATACAGAATTTCTTCCTAACCCTCAGTTATAGCTTGACTTATGGTTAGAAGCATGAGAGTTCATATCATCTCAATTTTAGAAAAATCCTTACTAATATAACTCTGTTTACTCTTCCTTTTTAGCCATAAAAATATCCAACCCTTCTTAGAATCCTGCAAAGCTCTTAGCCTTAATCATACTTTGGGCAACAAGTTCCACATGCTGATTGTGCATTGCGTAAAATAATTTTCTTTTTATCAGTTTTTCATTTGATGCCTTTCAATTACATGGAACATATCTTTGTTCTTGTAATGTGAGACAGAGTAAACAGAAGTGCCTGATCTATGTTCTCTGTACTATTAATTTATTGTATTCTTCCAGCCTGTTTTCTTTTAATTTGTCTCCTCTCTCAACTAAACTGTCTCAATCTCTGGCTTCCACCTGGATCGAATAAATTTTAGACCCTTTTTAAAGGAGGCTAGATGGCCATTAAGTTACTGGCTCTCACCTTTAGAAAATGGAGATCTGAACTCTGCTTTCACTGCAAACGTGGGTTCGGTTTCATCTCAGTCTTTTGTAGATATTTGCCTGCATCTTGAAGCCACAACCTAATTTAGCATGATTGGCAGTCTTCAGTTGAGAGGCTTAAGTTCTTTGTAAGGGAATTGTGAGCTAAGACTCATGAGCTCTATCACAACTGTACTATATGGGAAAACATGCACAACTCCTGCCCATGTCACACCTGGCTGTAGCATTTTATACTAGAACTTGCTCAGAATAAAATCTCTCTCAAATTAGATCAACAGTGACATCCAGTGGTCAGTTAGGCTACTGATGGGACATTATCTCTTCTGGCTATTCTAAATGATATATCAATTCACTGATTTTTTTTCTGAAATAAAAATGGCAGAGAGAAGAAATGTGTGAAAATGTGTAATCGTCAAGCTATAACCAGCACACTTCTGTATTAGTCACATACATGATACAATGATATTATACATTTATACATTATACATTTTCAATGAAAAATGTAAAGTTTAGGCTACAAAGTTTAAAAACGTACTAAACAACTAGTCATCCAAAATTCAGCCTCTCTTTAGGAAAGAGCCCTCTTCTATGTAATCTATGTAAACTGTAGTATTCTAAATTTGATAATCCTTTTTTATTATGAGTTTTAAAAAAAAACCTGCAGCTGTCTTTGAGTACCTTGGACTACTAGATTTCTAAAACAGGAATTTCTGTGACACCTTAAAAACTGAAACCTGGCGTAGTAATTCCACTAAGTAGACTTTGAATCTATTTGGTATCATATGCTTGCATTAGAAATAATTCATTATTGAACATAACAAATTGAACCATTATTCAATGGTGAATGAAAAGCAGCAGGTCATATGTTATATGCTCTCAGATTTATTTTCTTTCCTGGAATGGCTATTTCCAGTAATGGATTTGCTGTATTGAAAGTAGGAGGGCCACGCTGTTAGACCCTTCACTTACAAATTTGCTTCAGAGACTCATGAAAAGGATCTAGTCTAACTGTCTCTGTGTTACCTGACTCGCCCATTTAGTCTACATCCTGGTGGATATGGGCCCTAGTTAACCTTGAACTGTCTCTGCATATGGCTCAAAAAGAGAAAGCATTGGGTGTTTACAGTGCTTTATTTCATGGAATGCTGCTCTAACTAGTGAATGCAAAACCCTATTCTCTCCTTAAAGCTTGAATTGTCTGAGCCACAGACAGGGAGATGTAGTCATATTTTCAACCTTTTTCACACACAAAAATCTGTAAAGTCTGAGTTTCAAATTGGGCTTCCTCCTGCACTGCATGTGTTTGACTGGGCCAATTTTACATTAAGAGAGAGTTGTCTTTTCCATATTTCTGCAGGAGGAACTTAAGACCATAGTGTGAGGCTTATGCTTGATGACACTGTATATCTCTTCTCCATGTCTGTTCTGACTCAGTGAATGTATTTTTTTAGACTATGGAGACCCTGGGAGCAGGTGGTAAATACACAGCAATCAGAAATAATGACCGCATGAGGTTTGCACTTCTGACTCACAACTGAGAAAATAGAGGCTCAGAGATATACAAAACCAACTTCCATTTTGTTTTGTGTAACTTCAGCAAAGTATGAAAGTGGCAGATCTAGAAGAAGACAGCCTTTGACTGAGTGGCTTGGCGATCAGATATATATAGCTGGCAATGGCCATCTAATAAACAATAGTCAAAACTTAGGTTAATATCTTCCCCCTACCCCTTCATCTGCAACCCATTGGTAGATACCTTTGAGAGTTAACCCATTTTTTGGGGGGGGCGGGAGGAGGCAGGAGGTAGAGGTGAGGTAGGGCAGGACAGGCCCCAGTCATAGGACTTGTACCATTTAATAAATAAGAGGAGTATTTCTCCTTTTTGAGTCTTAGACAAATTATTTTTAAACTACAGGCTGGTTCTTTTATAATGAAGCAGAGAGTGTGAAAAGAAATAAAGAATTACTTTATCTGGGAAAAGTACTTTATCCATTGCAACTTCTGTGGTCTGAACTCTGATGGAGTCAAATAGGATGCACATATATCCATAAATTCCTCTTTTGTAAGAAACAAGAATGAGCATGGATGTTCTTATTTTTTAATGGGAAAGTGTTATCATTTCTAGCTTTGTTTTCCATCTATTAAAGAAAAATGACTTTTGATAACCAGAACTGGCTTCTAGGTGAATAGCTTATATTAGACAAAAATACACAATTTTTTTCTGCTAAAGAGATTATAGAAGATGATTTAGCTAGAGGATCGAAAGCTAATTAAATGGAACATGTAGTTAAAACCAAATCCCATTTGGTTTTGGGCAGGATTAGAAAGCTTGCATAGTTTAAGTGCATAAGGCTTTACTAAGATGTGAACAATATTTTTTTCCCATAGAAAGAATTATTGATGGATTTATAGGTCACTGCTAACTGTTTTATTATTCTCCTTTGCCCATTGAATTCTAGGAGTTCTAGATTAATGCATCTCTTGCTTGGGAAAGAACAAGGAGTAACATTTTCAGAAGCACCTTAAATAGGCTACATCCCATTTTCAAAAGTGACATCAGGATTTGGGACTTATATCTCATTGAAAACCTGTTGGATTTAGGCTCCTAAGAGCTAGATTCCAAGAGGTAATTAGGCACCTAAGTCCAACATTAAGGTGCCACTGACATTCTCAAAACCATTGTTCAGCTGGTGCTTAACCTTGTGGGCACCTAAGTCCCCGTGGGACCCACGTTTCTGCCAGTAGCTATGTGCAAAGTCATCTAAATTCTGGCACTGCCTCCCCAGCTAACGAGCTGCTCAGAGCCCTTACTCACATCTAAGCCCCAGCAAGATTCTCAAACTAATTGTTCCCCCACCTATTTTGTATGCGGGACCCAATCCAGTAGGCATGCTCTGAGCACAGCTACTGGTTTGGGCTGCACACAAAAGACAGATAGGAGTGAGTATTTTGGGGTCTGTCTGGCATGCGTGTGTCCATCCATCCCAGTCTATCCAGTAGCCCAGTGGTTACCTGGGATGTGGGAGACCAAGATTTGAATCCCCACTCTGCCTGATTTGGAGCAAGGACTTGAATCTGATTCTCCCACATCCCAGGTGAGTGCCTGAACCACTGGGCTATAGTCAATCGCTCGCTTTCCCCCCCCTCACTCTGGCACAAAGAATATTTAACTATTGGTCCAAAATGCAACAGCTCCAATGGGAGAGAGTGAGACCTACCCCACTATAGACAATAGCCCATGGGTTAGAGCACTCACTTGGGGTGTGGAAGAGCTGGGTTCAAGTCCCTGCTCTAAATCGTACAGAGCTGAGATTTGAATCTGGCTCTCCCACATCCCAGGTGAGTGCCCTGACCACTGGGCTATTATCCGTAATGGGATGGGGTGGTTTCTCTGTGGGGTTTGTTTTTGTGAGAGAGGGCTGACCTGGAGGGTAATTTGGAGTAATTGAATTTGATGCAAGAATTGCTGGATGAGGTTCTATGCCCTGTTATACAGGAGTCTAGATTAGATGATCATAATGGTTCTTTCTGGCCTTAAAATCTAGAATCTGTGAATTTAGATGATACTTCAATAATAAATGGTCTGGTTCAAACTGCTCCTTCTTACTTCAAGTGTTTGGTTTTAATTCATTGAGACTGAAATTCACCCAAAGGTAGAGGATCCACACAGGGCCTATACTTCACTTAAGCTCCACTTTACTGAGCCTTCTGTGCTGGGGTTGATTTCACCTGAAGTGCATTGTGAAGTGATTGAAGAATTTGGAGAAGAGCTCAACTTTTTTTTTAATCTCTTTCTCAAAACTTACTATAGATTCAGATGTATCAACTTTCAAGACTCCTCCATGATTATCACAGAGACCTCTATAATCATCTTGAAGAGAATGAAATCAGCCCCAGTCTTTATGCTGCACCCTGGTTTCTCACGTTGTTTGCTTCTCAGTTTCCATTAGGATTTGTAGCCAGAGTTTTTGGTAAGAGTGTTTTATCGCAGTCATAAGCAACACAATATCCTGTATAATGTAAGGGAAAACATGCATGGGAATATTTTGCACTTTGTTTTATATACTAATAGATAATGCCATATAACTTGTTCCAGTTGTCAGCCACAATTTTTTTTTTTTTTTAATAAAGTCAGAGTGAAAGCTGTTAAACTGAAGGAAAAAACGGGCAACAGGAAATTGTTACGGTATAGAGACTTAATTGCTGAAGCTTTTAGTCACTTGTACTACCACTTTCTTTAAAAAAACTCTTTACTTTTAAATGTGAAGTAGACATCAGAAACTTAACTCATTAACAGTGATGATTAAGGCTGCGAGTTTGTCACAGAAGTCATGGATTCCGTGACTTTCCATGACCTCCATGACTTCTGCAGCGGCTACTTCCTCCGGGGAAGTCTTGGGCCACCGTGTGCTGCTCCCCCACAGCAGAGTTTCGGTGTGGGATGGGGGCAGGGGATTGGGGTGAGGCAGGCTCTGCACAGTGCTTACCTGGGGAGCTCCCCGGAAGTGGCGACATCTCCCTTGCTCAGCTGCTAGCCACAGCCAATGGGAACTGTAGGGGTGGTGTCTGCAGGCGGAGGCAGCACACAGAGCTGCCTGGCCACACCTCTACCTAGGAGCCGAGGAAGGGGGATGTCGCAGCTTCCAGGGAGCTCCCGAGGTAAGCACTGCCCAGAGCCCGCCTCACCCTGTCCTGTGCCCCAACCCCCTGCCCCCTCCCACACCAAAACTCTGCTGCTGCTGCTGGGGGCTGGGAGGTGCAGAGCCAAGTAGGGAGCCTGCTGGCCTCGTCAACCCTCCTTCCCCCACCCCCCACACCAGCGGGGGTCCTGGGCTGTGCACCGTCGCCCTCCTCCAGCACCTGCGGCGCCCCAGGCCACACACACACACCCACACAAGTTTTAGTCACAAGTATTTTTTAGTAAAAGTCATGGACAGGTCACTGGCCGTGAATTTTTGATTACTGCCCGTGACCTGTCTGTGACTTTTTTACTAAAAATACCCCTGATTAAAACATAGCCTTAGTGATGATACAGGTATTAAACCTATTTTGCATAGGACTACTCAAGAGCAGTATGTATATCTCAAAAAGTACAGTCTTGTTTTGGGACTTCTAAACTCTGAATTGTATCATTATGGAGAAAAGTATGATGCAATAGGTTTTCAGTGCACTGCATTTCTTTCTGTAGATTTCATTAAAGTAAGCCATTGAATCCAGTAACTTGAACACTATACTCAGTTTTGATTTCATGAATATTTTAGCTATTCAGGTATTATTTAAAATTAAACAGTTTTCAACTTTAGTACATTTCATTTTCTATTTAAATAACCCTTTAGCGTCTGATGCACTACAGGGCAGTGTTCACTACAATAACTTCAATGGAACTACTCATGGTAGTAAGTGTTTATAGGATCACATTGATGGTTAGCAATTTCTGCATCTTATTAATAGCTTAGGAATAATAATTTCAAATTTCTTCATTTCAAAAATTACTTTTTATGCATGCAACTTTGTGGGAGTTTGTCCAAAAATACAACAGATATCTAGATACTGTAATATACTACAGTTATCAAGAAATGAGAAAAATATATCGCATACTTTGATATCTCTTAAATCAATAGTAAGTTGCTTTCAATTTTTCCTTTGTAGCATTTGTGAAGTGTTTCTGCACTCTCCATTTTTTTCCCCCCCAATTCCTACATTATTCAAAGTGGCTGCTTAATTTCTATCCTATTGTTTGTTTTTGAATTATTTTTTCCTAAGTCACATTAATATTTTTTCTCTTTTTGCTTTTAGAACAAAAATTGACTTAATTACATTTTATTTCCTATTTTGGGGCCAGTTTAGAAAATTAGGTGTTGGTTCATTTATTTCTCTATAATGATTGTGAGTGTTTAAATTCTTGTTTTCATTCATTATATTCGTGCTTGTCTTTACAGAAGCAAAATAGTAAAAATAAGTGCTCTGGTTTATTTTGCATTTTGGTTTAAAAATATTATTCTCATGTTTTGTTGCTCCAATAGACTTTGAAGTCAGGGAGTTGCCTTTTTTGGAGGGAGGATCATAGGTGGTTGTTCCCTAAATAAATATAGCAAGGTACAGCATCTGGATCTACACCAGAAACATTGTGTTTTAGTCCCCCTGCAATCTCATCTGTTCAGACAGACTCCTGAACCCTTGCAGAGCCCAGCTTACTTTTAATGAGACTCCCTGGGTGAAATCCTGGCTCTGTGGAGGTCAGTGGCAAAAATTCCGTTGACTTCAGTGGGGCTAAGACATCACCCCATTTGGGCATAAGGATCTGCCCAAGCAGATCAGATTGCAGGATTAGGGCCTTAAATTATAGACAACAGAAGCATTGCTATGGGTTTTAGACATGAGTAGGGTTTTTAGCCTTTTAAAGAGCTTCTATAGCTTCCAGTAATGAAGTAGCAATTTACTATCTTGCGAACAGTAGGATAAAATAGTCATTTCTTAACTATGTCAGTCTGTATTACATTTAATGATCAGCTCCCAATAACAAATGTATGGTTACTTTTTTTTTATTTTAAATTAACAATATACATTCCTCCTAATATGGTTAATATCCCATACATTATAACAATACTCAGATGCCTTTCACACTTCATAGGTCTTCAGAGTGTGCTTGTCCAACAAGCGTACAATCTTTTTTTCCCTAAAGCACTGCATTTGTAAAAGGGCAGTAAAAGATTTTTTTGTACATTTTTTCATTTATTAAGCTGATGCTGAAATAGTGGTATCTTCTAAGTAATGAAAATAATATAGTCAAAATATGATGGACCCTACATTCGTTTCCCTCCACAATTGACTACTGCTCAAATATAGAAAGGCAAAGGAAAGTATCCCAGCACAAAAATTAACACAAATAATTTTAATCCTTATTTTCAATGTATTTACAATTTTTTTTCTGTTTTAGACATTATCTTTCTTCAAGGAACTGAAGTCATATTTAAGGTAGCTCTGAGTCTACTTAGCAGCCAAGAAGCACTTGTAATGGAATGTGAGAGCTTTGAGAATATTGTTGATTTCCTTAAAGGCACTATCCCAGACATGACTAAGCTTCAAATGGAAAAGATTATTACCCAGGTAAGGTTGGGTTTTTTCCCCTTTATTTCTTTCCATGTGACTTATTTATAACATATTAACCCTAAGATGAATACAGGGGTCTCTGCTAATGATGAGTCACTTACTTCAATTTATACAATATCAGTTAGATCCCCTCTCAGTTGCTATGACGCTAAATTCAAGGAGTCATTTTCTGGACTATACTTGTAATCTGTAGGTCAGATCAATTTTTTATAGTTTTGATGGCCTCTACTCTGATCAAAAAATCCATCACTAACTAAGGGTGAGTGGCCAAAAAAAAAAAGGGTATTTTATAATAAATGATCTCTCCTGTCTGAGACGAGTCACTGGAAAAATTCAGCCTTCACTGAGGAGAGAGAGAGAGGCTGTATCTAAACTGAAGATTTTCTGACTTCATTTATCTAGGAATTTAGATGGGCTGCATCTGAGAACTTAAAAAACTTTTTAAGCTTAATCATCCCAACACCCTGTGAATTATTATTCCCATTTTACCAAAGGGCAACTGTGGCTGAGAGGTGTCACATCATAAGTCTGTGATAAAGCTGGGAAGGCGTCTCAGTCCCAGTACCAAATCTTAACAAGCCCTAACTTCTTTTCTCAGAGCAGCTTTAGTTGAAGCACTGGGAGAATTTTAGAAAATCCTTATGACCCAGTTAGCACTATGCTTAAAATCATGTTCGCAACAACCCATTCAGACATGGCTGTTGCTAGCAGTTTCCCTGACCAATGGGGAAAGGATTTTTTTTTCCAGAAAACAATGCTAGCCAACCCATGCCTCAGCCTATCTGTTTTACTCTAGTATGCTTTTTTAAACATGGTTCTCAAATTCCTAATCTCACTGGTTGGGATTACCATGTTAGAGCCTTACTATCCCCATGGACATTGAATTGGTATGTGTGGTTCTTACTATGCCTAACAATATATGATAAAAAACAATAAGACATGCATCATCATTAACTTCATTGGGTTATCAGGAATTAAGTGTAACTCTAAATTAGAGGGAGAAGTCGCTCAGTATGTGTGTTCAGTAATGAACACAATCTAGAGTTGCTTAGATTTGAATCACCTGAAAAACAGCAAACGTCAATCCGAGCCTGAGTTTTCTGTTGAGCTGACTGTTTCTAAGACTTTCCCCTGCAAGGCTGGTGTCACCCTAGCCTTTGTCTCTCTCTTCATTTAGAGCCTCTCTAAAGCCATATTTCAAAGGCTCAGAAAGGCAGTCCATCTGTTAGGTGCGTATATAGCCCCCATCACTGTAATGTGCAAGTGCCTCACAATCTTTAATGTAGTTATCCTCACAACAACCTTCTGAGGAGGAAAATACTATCACGCCTATTTTACAGATGGGAACTAAGGCACAGAGAGGCTAAATGACTTGCCCAGTGTCATATGGGGAGTTTGTGATGGAGCAGGGAATTGAACCCATATCTCCTAAGTCTTAGGCTACTGCCCTTACTACTGGATCATCCTTCTTGTCTGTACAGGAGAGGGTCTGTACAGTCAATGAGAGCTAACTCCCACTTGTATCTTTGAATATCTTTCTCTTCACCTCTTATATTTCTGAGTTAGAGCTGATAAGACCCATATGGTCTGGCTGTTGGATGAGTCAGCAGAATAATTCTATAGGGTCTGAGAACCTGACATCCAAACAGCTGTATTCTCATAAAATAATTGACCTAATTAAATCTCCCTGAATATTGTTCCTTTCTAGTCAGGGCAATGAAGTCTATGCTAGATGGTTTACTTAATATTTTAATTACCAAGCAGAATTGCCAATTAATCAAAAGAAGTTAATGCTCTCTGTTGTAAAAAAAAAAACTATTTTTTCCCCTCTCCTGGTAGGTTTTTGAGATGGATATTTCCAAACAGCTTCATGCCTATGAAGTAGAATACCATGTACTACAGGATGAGCTGCAGGAAGGTTTGAATCCCTGTGATGATGGTGAACCTTTGGATAAATTGGAGAGGGCCAACAGTCAGCTAAAGAGGCAAAATATGGACTTGTTGGAGAAGCTACAGGTAAATAGCCAAAGATAACTTGATCACCAGGCATTAACTTTTTCCTAAAAATCAGCCAACAGGGGATTTTCTTTTAAAGTCATTTAAGAAATTGATTTTTTTTAATGTTTTTAAAAACTTGGTATTGGGAGATTGTTCCACAGCCTAATAGCTTTCGTGATCAAGAAGTTCTTGTTTTGTATTTTAGATGTAATTTTTTTCTTTTACTCCATTTGTAGTCCTCTGTACGCATTTAAATAATTCCTCTTCCTTCTTGATGTTTACTTTCTCCAAATACCTGTAGATTATGACCATCCTCGCATTCTTAATTATCTCTTGGATAATTTGTACATCTTCAACGTTTTTATCTTCTCATAAATCAGTTCCTCCAGATCCCTCACTTTTTGTTTTTTCTTCAGTTTGCAAATATCTGGCTCATCCATACTCTGTATCACACTGGGCTTTGGCTGACTGTCTCCTCGCAAACTTAAATACAATTGGATGTTCCCTATCAATTCTAAAGCATGATTTCATTCTAAGTTCATACCTCCCATTGGCTATCTGGATTTTGATTATTTTCCCCATTTGTATTATCTTGCATTATTACAAAATACAATACCCTTCTTTCCATGGTCCCAGACCAGTAAATAAGTAGATCGCGACTAAAGATTAATTTTCATATAGCACTGGAAGGATCTCAGAAGTTCACCTGTAGGCCTCATCTTCAGTTCTATTTCCATTTTCAGATCACTGAAGAAATTCATGTCCTAACTGTCAGACCAGTAGGACGACGGAACAGACTGCCTAGGGAGGTTGTGGAAGCTCCTTCACTGGAGATTTTCAAAAGGAGGCTAGAAACCAATCTGTCTTGGATTGTTTAGACACAACAAATCCTGCATCTTGGCAGGGGGTTAGATTAAATGACCCTTATGTTCCCTTCTAACCCTATGATTCTGTGATACCAAATCTTCTTTTGCTTGGTTTTATTTGTTTCCAGGTGTACTATTCAATGGAAAATCCCCACAGTTTTTCTAGCTACCATGCACCTTTATTGTGATATTTATTATGAACCTTTTTGTGGGCCATTGTTGTCTCAGCCCTGATTTTTATTTTATTTTCTGGTGGAGCTGCTGACCAGGATCACTTGCACTTTCTTTTCTTGTGATGGTCCTTTTTCAGTTTGGTTTTTGGTTACTGGTTGGACTAGTGTCTGTCTTTGGCATGTTCTCAATCTGTTCCTGCTCTTCCTCCTCCAAAAAGGGTAGAATAGCTATTTTTGGTGACTGATTTGGCAGGCTCCATAGATGTTTTCCCTCTACATATCTCTACTATTCTACCTAATTACAACATTCCTCCATCTGATTTCTTGTTCCTGTATAACCATCCTATCCCGTGTATAGATCTGTCACGTTTCTGATGTTTCCTTTTTTTATAAATAGTATCTATGACATTCTGGGGTACAATCCAGACCAGTGAGGGTCTGTCACCCCTGCCCTGCAATGTTGAGGGCCTGACAATGCTTAGCTGCTGTAGCTTCCAACTTGGATCACTCACAATCAGCTTGCCTGCATGTCTGTGTATAATTGCAGCCTGCCAGCACACACCAGTCAGACTCTGGCTTCCATCAGCCTTGGTTACCACTTTTCGGGTGACCCCAACACACTCCCAGTCTCAAACTTCCCCCTGAAATGTATGTTCTGCACTGTCCAGCCCTTTCCTGGGCAGTTTAGATATTTTAGGTCTGTTGCTCCTGTAACAGAACAATATCGAACAGTTTTCTACTTGAAATGGAGTTACCTAAACAATTCACAACACTCAGTTAGTTTTAATTAAAGAATAAAACATATGTATTTAACTACAAAGAGAGAGATTTTAAGTGAGTACAAGTATAAAATCAGAACTGGTTACAAGAGAAATAAAGATAAGTTTTAGCACGAGAAAGCATTTTAACAAACTAGACTTGGCTCAAGGTAAAATCCCTTACCGCATGCTCCCAGCAATGGGGCTAACCAAATTTTGGGTTGGATCTCTCCCTAAGTCCAGTGGCTGCTTCCTTTGATTTGTCTGGTAAACACCTTGAGTCATAATTTCAGCTTCTGTTCATAACTTTGCATATAATGTTGCTACATGCATTTTGCCATGATATTATTGACCAGTGAGTTGTTAGTTTTCAAATGATACCTCACAAGGCAAATTTTGTACAAAGAGTATTACAATGGGGTGTAGGGTGTGAACACAGGGATGCATTTGGTCACAGTATCTGGTTAGGGTTCCTTCATTTCTCCCAGATATATTCACCACTGTTCATGGTCCTGTGCTTTCCTCCATGAAGGAATCTGGTTTACACTGTACACACATGTAGTCCTCATCCGTTTTCACTTGGAAAAGGGAACGTGGCTTCCATATCAGATATCTAGATTCTCTTGGTAACTGTTCTTATCCCAGTTATTTAATTTTTTTACAGAAGTCTCTTCGCTTGTTAGGACCCGTCAAAGCCAAGAATGTCCGTCTCTTCCTTTGGTACTATTTTGGAAAGTTCCCATTTGCTTTCTGTCTGTTTCTTGTGGACAGAATTTGCTGAGTCATGGGCCTTTATCTGTTGCCGCTGCAACTCCTTGTTATCGACAGTCATTCATCTGAGTTCCCTCTGTTTGCCTACCCCCCCATAGAGAGCTTTCAAAGAATCCTTAGAATCTGAGCTGTTCCTTGGGCAGTGTCAGGCTAGGAAGAAGCCATGGTACGTAGATAAATATTTTTAAAATTAGCTGTTTCAGAGATGGAACCAGTGTCTGTACAAGTAGGTGTGGCAGGTTCATTTGAGCACCCCCTCTTGGCCACTCACCAGACTACTGTGAGGGGATCCAGCGGCTGGATCCCATGTGTTTTAAGCCTCCAGAATCTGAATGCTGTCTGGGGCCTCTAGGCACTGAAGATGCAGATCCTTTGTCTAGCATCCCCCTCTGAGAGCTGCCAGGTTTAACAGATGAATCTCACAGACACGTTGTAAGGGATTCTAACACCATTGCTCTTTGCTTAATCACACAAGAAATATGCAGTGTTCAGATTATATAGAAAACCACAAACAGTCTAGGTCACCCTTCCTTTGCAGAATGATCTGTGTTCAGGTGGGTAGGGTTCCACTGCCTTTTCAGACTCCTGCAGTAACCTCCCTCTGCTTGAGCTAATCCAAATTGCTGAAAACCCCAAATAGACTCCTAGAATCATAGACTTTAAGGTCAGAAGGGACCATTATGACCATCTAGTCTGACCTCCTGCACAACGCAGGCTACAGAATCTCACCCACCGACTTCCGTATCAAACCTGTGTCTGAGCCATTGAAGTCCTCAAATCATGGTTTAAAAACTTCAAGGTGCAGAGAATCTTCCAGCAAGTGACCCGTGCCCCACGCTGCAGAGAGAGTTCCTTAAATAGATCAGTTCCTTCCCTTTTATAACCTTCCAGTTCTTCTGTCAGGTGACTCCCAGATCACCTGCCTTTAGCAGGTGTCTTCTTCCTTACCAGGCAACCGCTCTCTTGGCAAACCAATTCTCCTGGGTGGAGCCAGTCTGTTGTCTAGGATGCTTGTATTTGAATAGAGGACCATCCCAATTTAATGACCTTTCATTAGCAGCCCTATATCCCTCCCCTTTGGAATTTCAGTCTAGCATGTGAAAGGCAAGAGAGAATAAACAAAAACCTGCAGCTTGTAAAGATATATACAGAAAATTCATAATCTCACACAATTGTACAGATCATCACATTAAGTCCATGAGTTGTATGGAGGCAAATGGGTACAACCACACATGGTAATAAACGTCTTAATCTGAATCTCTTAGAAGGTAATGTAAATTGATATTCTTACTACTACTTACAGATAGCTCATGCTAAAATTCAGAGTCTGGAATCCAACCTGGAAAACATATTGTCTCGAGAGAACAAAATGCGGAGCTTAATCCAGTCGCTGGAACAAGAGAAGATGGCATATCAAAAGACTGTTGAGCAAATAAGAAAATACCTGCCAGCAGAAGCACTGTCCGACTGTGAACTGCTGCTGAAGGAAGTAAATGCCAACCCAAACAATAGAACAATGCAAGGAAATAAGCCATAAGTAAGAATTGCAGGTGGTATAATTTCAGATATGAAGGGAAAGCAAAGATATGTATGCTGCTATAAAAGAACTCAGAAGGCAGCAGGTAGTGGTTTGCCTAAAACCGGTGCTGGGACACTCATAGCAGCAGATGGGCCTTGTCACTCTCATTATGCAAATCCCAGGTTATCAAAATAGATTTTTTTTTAATAGTTGTGTACATATATCACAATGGGAAATAAAGAACTGTTGCATTTAATTGTGACAAGTAGATGTATATTTAGAGTTGATTTAAAGGAAAAGGTCAGAACTTCATTAATAAAAGCCAAAGTGGTGGTAAATTAAAATTTCATTCTAGATGCATATCTTTTGTCTTGTAGCAAAATGAGGATAATGTGTCTTTTATATATAAATTGTATAATACTTGAAAAAGATGAATGTATTTTTTTCCTCCAAAGAACAGCATGTTTCACATGTTTTGTGGAATTCTGTGTAAACTCGTGTGTCTGTGTCTGTCATTAATTCTACTGACGTGTGTGTATATAACAATAACTAAGGCTGACTGTCACCATGTGGCTCTTAGAGGGAGAATTATAATGCCATATGCTGCCTGGAATGTGCCAGTCAGGGTGTTACTCCCGCATACCCGTTGAAATTGACAGGCATTATGTCACAGTTATGCCTAAAGAACTCAAAAGACTGAAAACCCAGGAAAAAGCAAGACTCAGAAAAGTGGTTGTTACCTCACTTCCTGCCTCTCCCACCCCAGGAGTTTGACAGTAGAAGCTGAAGGAAGGAAATAGGGCTGCAGAGTGGTCTGCACTCTGAGCTTAATTTCCCACAGGTGACATGTTGTGGTAATGTATTTAAAACTGGACACGGTTTTCAAATTGCAAGAGAAACCTTGTAAGACCTTCTGTTGTCACGCAGTTCACTGATTCCCCCAACAGTTATATAGCTAATTTTTGGGGGGTGGGAGGTGTAATGGGGCACTGGATAAAGTGGGGAGCTAGGATTTCTAAACGTTCTGAATCCCCAAATACATCGTGATAAAGACATACATCAGATAATTTTCAGGCTTGTGCTGTGAAACTGTATAGGAAGAGGATTAGCTAGCCAGACTTTAAATGTTATGTACCTTTCAATTTAAAGCATCCGTTTGAAACACACATTTGAAAGGAGGTATTATAAATGCAGCTTAATGCTTTTGGGCTATTCCTGTATTCTGTTACCACCACTTCTTTGTAAACTTATTTTAATTATCCTGTCATGAGTGAATCTGTCCTAGACAGAGGATGGTAAGTCCAGGTCATTTCTTAGAGTGTATGTATGTCAACCAAAGGACAATAAGTAAGATGCCTACAGATTTGAAAAAGCCAGTTGTGATTAGTGTAAATCTGCAAGAAGGTTTATTTGTATGTAGTAGACATGTATTTTGGAATTCATGTCAGAGTTGTTACTTGAATGTTAAAATGGATCATGTTATCTTACCATTTATGCTATATTCCAGGCAGGTTTTTTTGTTTTGTTTTTTAAGAATAAAAATCAAGCAAAGTGCCAAATTCAGCAAAATGTCATTTATGCATAAGATTGATTGGAAAGCAAATGTTGAATGTAACTGCTTTCTATGTCACAATGCTTTATGTTAATTTCAAGGAAAAAAAGAGCAACAGAATCACTGCTTTGCTGCTCATTGCTGCAGGGTTTAGTTTTATTTCCACGGTGGTTTTCTTATTTGGTAGTACTCATTCAATCACTGTATTTATCTTTCTTATTACAGTCGGGTGCAAGCTCTTACACTGTGGATAAAATTACATGGAATCTGACTTGGTATTTCAATAATGTTTCATTGCACGAGATGGAAAAATGCCAAGTGAAGAGGCAATTCTTTGCAGTTTGTTCAAAGTAAATTTTAGCTAATATGTATATACGGAACTAATCCCAGGGAACTGCAGTACAGTGTATTACAAGATCAAGGGTATTCAGATACATACTACTACTACTTTTTTTTTTTTTTTTTAGATGCACTGAATGTGCTTTATCCTCTGTTTCACTTATATCAATTTTTTTCATGTGATGCCTGGAGAATTTCCAATAAATTTAATTTTGCTGCATTTCCCATGGCTTCTGGCTTTTTTCATTTCTCCACATTTCTAGTACCAGTTTCTCACTTGGAACAGTGCTGTCTTCATGGAAAAATTAAGGAATCTGTTTAGTCTCTATGTGTGGAAAAACATGATTTGCAAAAGGACACAGGAAAAATGCAAATTATGACCATTTAAACTATACAAACAATATATTTTTTTATCTGTTCACTTTCAATAGACAGACATGTTAGGAATGATAACTGTGGGAATTTGTTTAATTCAGAGGAAGGAATCTGAATCTCTCTAGCCTTTTGTGCCCTCATTTGAAAAACCTAGACAAGTGGTGACAAACCATTTTTTCACGATGTATTCTATGTTATGAGACATTCATCATGATCTTTGTTCTGCACACGTGCATAATTTGTAACATATGTATGTCTGGGGTGGCCTGCTTCAAATATAAAACCTACAAAGATCTGTTTAAGATGAATAACAATCAAAAGTATAGTTGAATTTGTCTTTTAGTTACAGGTTTTTCAGGGTGTGTGTATGTATATATATTTATAACAAATCACTATATGTGATAGTTTACATCCTGAATCCCTAGTTTTTTATCAATTCTTGTTTTATTTAAAAAAAAAATCTAATTAGTAGTTTAGGCCCAAAAGGTAGATGAGTTGAAATAAACAATAAAACCTAATATCAATAAAAATGTGTTCCTGGTTTGCAGAAAAAAAATAAAGGGGTTGAGCATATTGCATAAACATTTCCTTGCAGTATTTGCAAAGCTAATGCATGAGGATCAGAAATGTAAAAATGGACAGGCCATTTTCATAAAATGAGGGAAATCCAAAAAATAAACTAGCTTTTTTTTTAATTCCTTTAGTTTTAATAATTTAAGGTATTAGCTACACAGATAAGAAATTTGCTTATTAAAATATATGGAATCAAATTCCACTCTGATACGTGTGCAAAACAATGGAAGATGTTGTATGAATGTAGCAGAGCAGCATTTTCCCTTGATTTTTTAATCTGACCGCATCCCTTTTACAAATGTCTGTACAGTTTATTACTTTCTTGTGTAAAGCTATTGTTAGTTTAAAGAACCTATATGCCACATTCACCTATCACATACATTCACCTGTTACACACACACACACGCCTCCTAAGATGAAATTCTGAAACTATTGATCAATGCACACCAATCCACAGGAAGTGAATGATGCCTTATGCAATTTAAACTGATGGTGTGGGGAAGTTAAGGTAAGAAGTTTTGGAAAAGGTGCTCCATCCTGCCACTTAGTCTGTCAATGCTGAACGTTGCCAAAGAGTTTGGGATATGGACCATGCCTCACTATATACTTGGAAAGCATGTAGTACATTGGGAGTGCTAATATAATACGAACAGGCACTGGATTTTACCCCTTCTTGGGAAAAGTGTTGGGGATCCTTATTGACTGCAAGTAATCAGAACCTCATTTCTACATCTTACCTGAAATGTGGCAGCCCAAGTAGCAGAGTGCTTGCAAATACTATGTTGTGGCTCTAACTGAGAGCAGGTCAGAAGGACGAATGCAGCTACTGTATCTTCAGCACTACATCATGCAGCCTCTAGGAGGAGCTAACTCTAAATTCTTGAACCTCAGATAGCAGAGGGCTTCCTTGAAAGGGCTGTGAAGGTTTAAATGTTTTTAGCTCACAAGCTAGAACTGAAAACTACTTACTTCTGCTAGGATTCTAATTACACCAGGTGGGATCTTGGAAAAGAGCTAGAGCTGGGTGAATTTTCTAAAAAACCTTTTGTGTTGAAAAAATTTGCTTTTTGACCACTTTTTTCAGTTTTTAGGGGAAAAGAATGGAACTGACAGCCAAAGTCTTTTAAACCGACCTTTTTTTACCCAAAAGGAAAACCCAAAGAATTGTTTTTTGTAACTTTTGTTGAAAAACAAATAGTAAAATTTTGAAATAATAACATTGGCATTTTTCAACCAGCTGTAAGAAGGGCCTCTTTGAAAACAGGAATAGTGACCTGTTATCTTCAGTTAGACTTAAGTGTGGTGGTCATCCCTTCTATTGCATTAGACAGGCTTCCTTGCTTCTTAACCTCCTCACTGCAATGCTGCCCAGGTTGCTCAGAGTTGCCTAAATGGAGGTATTCTAGGATGTAATAGAGGTTCTAAGGTCCAGCAATTTGAAGCACCCAGTTGTCCACAATGAGGACTTCACATTCTTGCATACTTAGCAAATGCTGCATCCCAGCTAAGAATGAAAAATTGCCTCTGTTTGCCTAGAACTCTAAAAAAGAATCTAGCATCTTCAGAAGACACCTCCACTCCTGTCTGCCATTGGACCAGACATCATAATGAACCAACTCACCATCCCTTCAGCTTGGTGTCTTTCTTTCATGGACATTAGATATAGAACTTTGTCTAAGTTGGGCATATTGAGACAGTCCAAATTCTGAGTGCCCACTGTCCCCTTCAGCTTGGTTCAGCATCAGGTTATTAAAGATGATTGCATAGAAGCCTGAAGATTTCTGCATCCACACTCCCTTGATGGCACTAAATTTGATTTTAGGTAACGTAAAGGATTGTAACTGATCCTACATTTTGTAGTTAGTTCAGATTTTAATATTGATGCTAGCTATTGAACCCATCAGTATATGATGGTGCTTCATCTCCCTTGCAATATTAATCTCCGAGTGAGCTTGTGGATGGGTCGGGGAGGGACTCTGTGCCCTCTTCTCCCTATCCCTCACTCCCATTATTTCTTTTGCCTGGGAGATGTGTCATTCAGCATGTCAGCATTTTAAACTCTACTGGGTCAATGGGCAAAGCTAAAATGAGGGGAGTGCGTTTTATCCTAGAAAGCAGTAATGGCTACCTTCAATCAGTTCTTTGATCTGTACAGATACCATCCTGGTTGAGGTGACTCTGCTAACCCAGTGCCAGAGGCACTGTTTATCTCTCACCTCCCCCTTCTCATTTTCTGATTTTTACCAAAATCAGTAAGGTTCTGCCTACTGCTGCCTAGAACATTTCCAATTTTGGAACTGATCAGTTGCAAAGTTCAAAAGTTATTGCATTACATACTGATGGAGACTTGTCATCAAGTTGAGTTCAGGGCTTCCATATGCTTGGCCAATTACATATAAAACTACCATATTAAAGAACTGCAAGATTGCAAAATTAAGCAAGCAAGTTAGGAATTGCCAGTGTGGTGAATGTGGAGATGTTCAGTGATGAATATTATAATGTTGTAAGTATTTTTGGTATGCTTATTTCCACCTGGTGGCCAAGGTGGGAATTGATATTTACTGTTAAGAAGCCCTAAGATTCTACTGAACTTGTTCCAACAATTGTGTGAGGAAGTTTTTCCAAGATGTAGGCTGATTAGTGGTCTGTGAACCTGTACCAGAATAAAAGATTTCCTTTTCCGGTTCTAATCGGTCTTGGGTCTCCGTATACTATGTTGGCAACAAGGATAAACTAAAAACAACAACCAGCAAGCTCTACATACTGTGTGCGTAAGTGACAAACTTTTTTTTATTGCAAAGAAAAATGGCTGCATATGGAAAAATGAAAGCATATGATGCAGAGTAGGAGGACTGGACTCAGTACTCAGAGACTCTCCCAGAACTTTATTATAGATGATATAGAGGATGATAAAAAGAAACATGCCATTTTTGAGTATTTGTGGAGCAAAAACATAGCTTGTTTAGCTTTTTGGTGGCACTAGAAAAGCTCAGTGCCAAATATTTTGAACTAATTAAAGTTGTCATGCGCCATCATAACCCAATGCCAGCTGAGATTGTGCAGTGTTTAAAATTTAAGTTTCTCCCACCAACCTGGAAAGTTGGTGTCAGTTTTTGTACCAGAACTACATTTGTCGCAGTGCTGTGGTTTTGGAGATACCATAGCCACGGCTTTTAATGTATCAGTTATGAAAGAATTCAGAGATGTCTGCTGGCAGAATCCACCTCAGATTTTAAAAAAGCTCTGGAAATAGCACAAAGCATGGAAGTAGCTGCATAGCATGCTTTAAAGTTACACAGACGCACTAAGCAGCACATAGCTAGCCAGTCACAGGTACCATGCACAACTATCCAGCATTCCACACAGAGCAAATGAATCATTAAATTAACAGAGGTACCACCTTAAGAACACACAACTGCTTTAGTTGTGGGGTGAAACATGACTATATCTCCTGCCCATACAAGGATATTGAGTGCTGGGTTTGCCAGAAGTGAGGTCATCTTGTAAATGTGCACCATAAAAAACCAGACACATGGAAGGAAAAATGTGGGTCATGAGAGGTACATCGTATTTAGGGTGACCAGACAGCAAGTGTGAAAAATTGGGATGGAGGTGGGGGGTAATAGGAGCCTATATAAGAAAAAGACCCCAAAATTGGGACTGTCCCTATAAAATCGGGACATCTGGTCACCCTAATCATATTACAGAGGAGAAAGAGAAGCTAAAAGCTGAAGACTGTGTATATCATAGAATCATAGAATATCAGGGTTGGAAGGGACCTGAGGAGGTCATCTAGTCCAACCCCCCTGCTCAAAGCAGGACCAATTCCCAACTAAATCATCCCAGCCAGGGCTTTGTCAAGCCGGGCCTTAAAAACCTCCAAGGAAGGAAACTCCACCACCTCCCTAGGTAACGCATTCCAGTGCTTCACCACCCTCCTAGTGAAATAGTGTTTCCTAATATCCAACCTAGACCTCCCCCATTATGTTTAATGTTACTAGCAGTAGCCAAAAGAAGAAATCCCCTTGAGTGGATGTTACAATTAATGGACAAAGAATATCCCTAAAGATTGATATAGGAGCTTCGCTGTCTATAGTCAGCCCAGACCTGAAGATGTCTTTGTAAGCTCAAAATCTGCTTTCTCACCAACAGAAGTTGGTCCAATAAGAGGTATTACTTCATCCACCACATGTCTCTAATAATCAGTGGGGTTACTTATCACCAGCTGTGGCCAACGGACAATACACCACAAGGTCACAGT